ACAAGTCAGTGTCTCAGAATTGGAGCTAGCTACATCCTGCCACCGTGGTGAGTGGAACCCTACGACCTTCTGGTTAGAGGGACTGCAGTGACATCCGTTGATGCCCTGAGTCACCTCTCATAGGGTGGGCGTGGGCGACGGCGTCTGAATTCGACCTAGCTGTGTAGGTAGTGTGGAAAATGCTTCCACCATGGGGAGTGGAACCATAGGACCGCCCAGTCCGAGACTCACTAGTGACATTAGTAGACGGCCTGAGCCACCTCTCCCTGTACGACGATATTCTATGCATTACTTAACATTCGTACCGAATACTACCAAAAGAGTGTGCCTGCAACAAGTAATGTTCTTCGGCTTCTGGATCATCGCAGCACTTTCCCGCATCTGCGCGTTCGCAGCAGATCGCAACTGAAGTCGCTCTCCCGTGCAAAGCCTCCCCATTTCCGACCCCGCTCGGCGCCCTCGCCTTCTGGCGGAATCCAGAGCGCAGCCGGAGGGCTGTGCTTAGCGCCGCGGGGGTCGGGGTGGGGGCTGAGAGAGGACCCGGAAATGAGGCTCCGGCGAACAAAGGCGCAGCGGCCGGGGAATCCCCCCTCCCCCCCCCCCCGCGCCGCGCCGGAAGTCGCCTGCGACGGCGGGAGGAAGCGCTACGCGGCGCATCGTCATCCACCGGGCGGCTCTTTTTTCTTTTTTTAATTTATTTTCTTCCCGTTCGACGTTTGAGTTTCGGGGGTTTTGACGGGCACAATGTTACATACAATGACTTTACCTGGCTGTCTAGACGACGCGAATGAGGCTCCTCCTTGTCGTCATCGAACAGCGCAGTCGCGTCTGCGCAGGTGGAGAGTTGTAGGGCCCCTTCTCACGTCGCCACCGCTGCGCGCTTCCGAACGCTGCGGCTTGTAGCAGAGCATTGGTGTAAATAGAGGTCTTCCCACGTGCGGCGGGTTTGCGCCGCTGCGGCGGTCAGCGCCGCACCCTCGCTAGGGCCTCTTCTCACGGCAATACATTCTTGGCTATCCGGGATGAGCCGCGTCTCGGTCAGTTGTGCTGACGTTTCGGCCGCCTTGCTGTGGCCTTCTTCAGAGCTATACTGGTACACCCCTCACGTTGCCACCGCTGCGCGCTACGCACCGCTACGGCTTGCAGCAGAGCACTGGTTTAAATGGAGACCTTCCCACGTGAGGCGGGTTTGCGGCGTTCGGTGACGGACTCTCGCTACGCGAAGCGGAGGAGGGCGCACGCGCCACCGCTAGCAGAACACAGCTTAAAATGGTAGGCTCCCCACTGTGCCGCCAGTCGCTGCGTTTTACCTGCTGTGGTGCGTTTGTTAGACGTCGCCGGAGGGTCGGCCAAACCTACCCCTGCAGATCCCAGCCCCTTCCACGGCGGATGGCGGTGCGGCCGTGGCTGCGGCGGTGTCGGCGTCGAAAGGGCTCTGCTGCTTGACGGAATCGCGCCGCCGTCGCGACGTGGGAAGGCGCCCATAGACGACCACCCGGAGCTTGAGTTTCGCGGCAATACTCACGCCGTTAGCTACGAGGTCGAGGCCAAGAGTAGGCGATGCTAAAAGCTCCTTGTAGCAGGGCCTTTCCAGTAACCCACGGATTGAGTCAATTGCGCCTGCCCTGACTCTAGATCGGCCCGAGGTCGATCATACGAACGCTTCGGATCCCGCATATAGAACTCCAGGCAAGGGACTCGCTCCCTCATCTGTCGGGTAGCCCAGGTACTGTTCCTAAGCCGTTTACCTTATTTCACAAAACAGGCACAGCCTGACTGCACCCTGCGCTCAACCGTTCATAAGCCATTTACCTAAATCTCCAAAAAACATAGCCCGACTGCATCCCGCGGTCAACCGTTCATAAGCCATTTACCTAAATCTCCAAAAAACATAGCCCGACTGCATACCGCAGTCAACAGGTCATACGTCGTTTATCTACGTCCCCACAAAGGCATAGCCTTACTATTTGATTTACGTAAGATGGAGCTTGAACTTTGAATATGCTCAGGGTTTTGTGTGTGTGTGTGTGTGTGTGTGTGTATTGCAAACAGCAAGGTAAATGAGCTTGATCAGGAAATTCCACAAACTCTGAACTACAAAGTGCGGTTGCATATTTTTTGCGCTGCGTGGACATTCTCCAAAGAGAAATCTGAACATTGCGAGACCTCTTCGAATTAAACGGCAATGCCGCGGGTCGGCAATTTGCCAAGGGGATAAAATTCGCGATTGAAAATAGCTCAGCTCGCAGAAAACTAATGGTGCTACCACACCACACATTTTCTCGCATTCTGCGCAAACTTACGTAGTTATGTTAATTCAACCCGCAAAAGTGAATCCAACTCCCAAAAAATGTTCGCCCATGCTGGGATGCGAAACAAGATTTTTAAGTACAGCAAGCACTTAACGTAAAGGATACACCAAACTGCCAATGCCAGCAGATGAGACAATCTTGTTTACGTAATTTTTAAAAGATGTCACGAATTCACTTAAAGTACGCGAACACTACTAAAATTTTAAAACATATGTACATTACATTATTATTTAAAGTTATAATTTTGTTATATATATTTCATTAAGACTACACTTTCTTCGATATTGCAGTTGTAAGAAGATACAAAAAAATTTTTGAACTCTTGGTAATTTTCGAAAATTTAGATAATTCAATGTAAATCGGACCAATCTCATTTTTATAAGAGAACTTAATCCAAGAAGAAAAAATTCAAAAATTTGGAGACTTATTTTTAGAAAAAATTGAAAATGTAGTTGTTGAGACTGTACAGTACCTCCAAAAATCAAAATCAAATTGAAAGGGCAACGACCTCGGCCACATCAATCGGCGAATATTGATTTTGATGAAAATCTCGGCCACGGTTTAGCCGCCAGCGTAGTTCACAGACAGTTGGTCAAAGATTTGGCCAACTTCAAACCAATTTTTCTAAATCAAGGTTCCACAAAACGTGTTTTCCCAGAATACAACGCATTAGAGGAAGTAATTTACTACTTATAGAGACAAAAAAATGTACATTTGAATTTTTACACATGTTACAATATGGACATTTAAAAATCCAAATTATTAACCCTTCTGTTTGATGGACTTACAATAAGACTTTTTCACTTAAAAAATTACCACTTTCCCTTGCAACGTTACAATTGCTTCTCCTTACTACGTAAGTGCGTTTTAGGCGAGAAAGTAAAAAATGTTCAAATAACCATTTATCCCTTAGCGGTTCTCTTACATCTGCATTCTAAACACGTTCTCTATCAGCAGAATTCTCCCCGCAGGGAGTAAGTGCTAAGTCTTGTAGTTTCACAGCAAACAGGAAATGTCTTAACTGGGAAATTCAGTTCATCAACCTCATCTCTTTTAAACCACAAATGCGGTTCGACACGCAAGGAATTCACATCATGTAACTAGCCATAGAAACCAAAGAGGTCTAATCTTAAATAGTCAGTGTTAACACCGTGACAATTAATTATGAACTCCCTGAGCATTTTCATTAACTAAATTTATTCTAAAAATTGCTCGTATACTGAAGGAAAAGCCATAATCCATTCAAATATAATCTGAAATTTTTTAAAAGTTTTAATAAAATTATGTTGTTTCTACTTGAAATATTTGTCATCTTTTGTGATGTCTTTGTAACACGCAATGAACTGACAACGATTTCTGAAACTCTTTCTACATGAAAAAAACATTCGAATTCTGCATTAAATACGCATACCTTGGTTAATCCAATTTAATTTAAGTTAATCCAATTGTACGCCTTACAGCGTAGCGTATACACTGCTTGCAGCAACCAAACAGAATCTCTGATTACGTCATTGTTGCTATTTCATGCAAATTTTAAGTCAAAAATGTAGAAAACTTTCTAAGAATTTATGTATGAAAATAATTAGAAACTCACAATAAGCAGACAATATAGAACAATTATAACAGCAAAGTTATTTTGGAAATTGCAAAATAAATCAAACCGTGATTTCTGTCGAGAAACCCATATAATGTCAATAACAATACACTGTAACCGTAATCAGGTATAGGATGGGTATGAAAGCAATGACTGATTCAAATGTGAACATAAATTACCTTTAATCGGTGGTGCCAAATAAATAAGAAGCATATTCATCAGTCCGGAGACCATATTTTATCCAACCAAGACAGATGTGTAGCTGTCAGTCAGATCACAGTGAATATGTGCTAATTTAAATATCTTTAAGTGTATTTTTAAGTTTAATTTAAATATCTTTAAATTTATCGTTAAGTTTAAGAGATAAGAATCAATGCCCTTCATAAATTACCCTCGAGACAAATGGTTATACATTCACATCCATAGAATAGATTGCTAATTTTAGTATCGCTTTTTCGTAATAAGGTCTACATACAACAAACGCTCCATTTTTGTGGCCGAGGCAACTGCCACAGGTCTATTGCAGAAAATGTTCATCTGCCATAATATATTCAGTTTTCTGTACGACAAATTTCGAGCATGATTCTTGCGGAAGCATCCATAAGGTTTACAATCACAATATCGTGTCAAACCGGGCAATAAAAGAGGGAAATTTTATGGGCAATAAAAGTTATTGCCTTGCGCATATATTCATTTTTATGTTTCTGTAGCAACATACATTTAGGGATACAGACAAACTTGTATTTACTCTTCTATACAAACTCCATCTCTTCATCAATCATACGAAAAACACACACACACACAGTTTCCTTACACTATACCAAGTAATGTGTGAATGTTGTTGTCCCTCTTTCGCTGTGTATCCACTTTCTCTGTGTACCGCACATACATTCTTTTCACAGAAAGAGTAAAAATTAGGATGCGACCGATAATTGAACACCCAATCCTGAGATGGAATCATAACTATTCATTTTTTCCAACGTCCCGTCAAATTAATTTTTATCTCATCAGAGGAAACTTATCAATCTAAATGTAAAATTAATGACATAAGTTAAGCATAGCAAATATTACACAACTAACGATCGCTAAATCACTCAATTTAATGTCTCCAGCGCGAAGGTTTCATCAGCTGAAGTATAAAGAGCATTCACTCGACTTTGCTTTAAAAAAATTCACTTTCTTTTACCTTCTCCTTTCCTTACATCAACCCGTCTCTCTTTCCCTCTCCCTCTCTTTCCCTCTCCCTCTCTTTCCCTCTCCCTCTCTTTCCCTCTCCCTCTGCCCCTTCTCGGTCCCTGTCCGTCCATCTCCGTCTCTCTCTCTCTCTCTCTCTCTCTCTCTCTCTCTCTCTCTCTCTCTCTCTCTCTCTCTCTCTCGCCTCTTTCTCTCTGTGTGCCTGTCCTTCCGTCTCTCTGTCCGTCGGTATGTGCGTCCGTCCCGCTCTGTGTCTGTGCGTCAGTCCTCTCCCGTCCGTGTCCGTCATCTCTCTCTCTCCCTCTCTCTCTCCCTCCTCCTCCCCCTCTTCTGTCAAGCAACCGACCACTAGAATCTTATCAAGACAAAAGTGTTAGTCCATCCCCGTGCGCAGCACTCACCAGTCCGTGGCGGCGGGGGTGGTGGCTGGGCCGGGGGCGCCCCGGTACCCGGCGAAGGGCCGGCGCCCTGGGCCCCCTGGGCCCCGCCGTGCTCTGCAGCAGCAGCGCCGTGTACTGCGTGATGACGCATGGCCGCGTCGCCGCCTGCGCGTGGGCGGGGGGGGCGGCGCGGGGCCGGGGCGGGCGCGGGGGCGGGCGGGGGCGCGGGCTCCTCCACAGCCAACAGCACCGACGAGCGAAACGCCCCGTGCTGCATGCGAGCGCGCGCCCGCCCACGATCACATGCTGCGAGGCGAGCACGCGGATCCCGTGCTTCTTCTTTACCGATGGGCTGGATGGGTGACCAAGTGGCGTTTGACACGCTGGCTTCACTCTTTCTGGGCAGATGATTTCGCAACGACGTCGATTTTCTTCTTTGCAGATTTGCTTCCCGAAAAGGACATTAACGGAAAAGGTGTATACCTCAGCACTGGGAGAACTGAATACGTTGAGCACACGATCCGAAACAGAAGGAGTTATATGCTTCAGTCCAGCGCGCACTGCTTCGAAAACTACTCCGTTTTTCTTCTTGGATTTTCAGGATCGTTAACGATATGACATCTTGAGTAAAACCAATCGAATCGACCTTTTTTCAATCTGGAAAGAATTGTTGAAAACGCCAAGCACTCCAACCAAATCACCATAAATTGGTAATTATTACCCTCCTTAACTTATTTAGATTAAGATAACACGAGTGTTGCTTCACAATTCCATGGAATTTTTCATCTCAGTTTCTCTGTATTTCACCCGAAACTCTGCCTTGCCGTAAGTGTCAAGTGGACACACAAGAAAACACAGAATACTGTTTACGCTGAGCACTCAGTCGATATCCCTCAAAATCACCATTAGTTCATAGGCGCGCGATATCTCCTTCGTCAGACGTTCACATGAGGGGAACTTAACAACGAACACAACTCCTAAAAAAGAAACCATAAATAAGATTTCTAAAACGCTAACCATACACATCAGTAGGCAATACAATGTTTCATTCGTTCCTTTTTACTCTCGCGAATAGACGTCTGTGAAACTAAACAGATAATCGGTTTACATGCTCCAGAATGTACCTTAAGCGTCCAGCAGAACCTCGTTGAATCGCTTCAAACCAGTAGACGATTCCGCGATCTTTTTACAAGCAGTAAAGAACTTCAAAAAAATCGTCCTGATGTCCTTCTCAGAATCGTGGAATCGCACACGAAATGGAACCTCCCGATAACAAATCGCCCCCAAACTTCTCAGAAACACAAATAAATCGGATTCTCTTTCTCTGTTCGTAGATTCTTCCGCGGCTAGAACGAGTTCCTTTATAGTCCACGGCAACGATAGCGATCTTCGAAAATGAGTTCAAAAGACGTCTCCGCTTCTACGAGAGAACTGCGACGACTCAATCCATTTCACAGCCTGCGGAGCGTGGAGCGGCGAGCGAACGGAAAACTAGAAAGTTACGCAACACTACGAAATGACCGCGTCCGCCGAATAACTTCTGCAGGACCGAGCAGGATGCATCGAACAGTGACAACGATCAACACGGCCGTGATTTCTGCAGCGTCTGTCGTCTTCTTCTTCTTCTTTGTCTCCGTTTTCCCCTTACCGCGCCGCCGTAAAAATATAAAAAAAGAGAAGCCGACTAGGGCCAACAATGGAAACAAGAGACGATCAATCGAGAACAGCACAAGAGCGAGCGAGATAGTCTTTCACTTCACTGTCTTTTTTTCACTCCCTGAGAAGTCTCCTAAGTACTGATCGGGTTCTCGTCTTGCTGTCTTCGCTCTTTTTCTGGTGTCGCGACTCGTTCAAAACCATACTACAAAAAAAAAAAAAAAAAAAAAAAGAAAACTTGGCGAGTCTATTTTCGCGCGATCTGGCACTCGGATAAAGGTCAGGTTATGTTGGCACACCTGCGAGAGTCGCGCGCGCTTATTATAAGAATGTCTTATTTCGCGCGAGCTTCGTGGCGGGGCGGGGCGGCGCAGCTTGGGGCTTTACAACTCCCATCATTCACTTCGAGATATGGCCGTTTCGAGATACTGCTACTTCGAAATATGGATACTTAGAAAAATTGCTACCGCGAAATACGGCTACTTCAAAATATGATTATTTCGAAATATGGCTACTTCGAAATATATGTACCTTGAAATATAACTTTTTCGAAATATGGATACTACGAAATATAGAAACTTTTAAATATGGATCTTTCGAATTATTCGAATATTTCTATTTTTCCTAATTATTGGAGACGCTTATACGCTCAATTCTTGCATCTTCTTACATCCTGCTGTCATTTTGTGACGACGTGTAGGAAAAGCGCGAGCTCACGAGATTCAAGTTAAGCGCCCTCGGTGAACAATATCGCGATGATGTCTGCACTTGATAGAGCCACGGTCTTGAGAGTACCAATTCCCATTAGATACACCACTTCGTTTCAGCGTATTTCGCACTTGCCACAAATGCATACTACGCGAAGAGCGTCCTCTGTTCCCCTCGGAGTTGCGCCGGGGAGTTACAATGCCCCGACGTCGCAAGGCCCGCGTTGAAGGATGCGGAACGGTGCGGCGCTAACGGTCAGGGAGTGGAGCGGGAGGGGGAGGGGGAGGAGCGGGCGTGAATCACGGTGATAGCTGCCTTTTGCCGAAATAGCGGGTTTTTTTTGCGGATAAATAGCGCGGCGGTTTTTTTTTGCGAATAGCGGTTTGGCGAAATAGCGGTTTTTTGCGATATAGCGGTTTTTTGCGAAATAGCGGTTTTTTTGCGAAATAGCGGTTTTGGTGCCGAAATAGCGGTTTTTTTTTGCGAAAATTAGCGGTTTTTGCGAAATAGCGGTTTTTTGCGGGAAATTAGCGGTTTTTTGCGAAATAGCGGTTGTTTTTGCGAAATAGCGGTTTTTGCGAAATAGCGGTTTTTGCGAAAATAAGCGGTTTTTGCCCGAATAAGCCGGTTTTTTCGTAAATAGCGGTTTTTTTCGAAAATAGCGGTTTCTTTCGAAATAGCGGTTTTGTCTTCGAAATAGGCGGTTGTTGTTCGAAATAAGCGGTTTTTTCGAAATAGCGTTTTTGTTCGAAAATAGCGTTTTGTTTCGAAATAGCGTTTTGTTCGGAAATAGCGGTTTTGTTCGAAATAGCGGTTTTGTCTCGAATACGGTTTTGTTCGAAATAGCGGCTTTTTTCGAAATAGCGGTTTTTTTTCGAATAGCGGTTTTTTCGAAATAGCGGGTTTTTTTTTTCCGAAATAAGCGGGTTTTTTCGAAAATAGCGGGCTTTTTTCGAAATAGCGGTTTTTTTTCGAAATAGCGGCGTTTTTTCGAAATAGCGGGTTTTTTTCGAAATAGCGGGTTTTTTTCGAATAAGCGGCTTATTTTTTTGTCGAACATAGGGGTTTTTTTTGCGAAATAGCGGTTTTTTTCGAAATAGCGGGTTTTTTCGAAATAGCGGGTTTTTTCGAAATAGCGGGTTGTATTTCGAAATAGCGGTTTTTTCGGAGGAATAGCGGTTTTTTCGAAATAGCGGGGTTTTTTCCGAGAATAGCGGCGTTTTTTCGAAAATGAGCGGTTTTTTTCGAAATAGCGGGTTGTTTCGAAATAGACGGGTTGTTTTTTCGTAAATAAGCGGGGTTGTTTCGAAGTAGCGGGGTTTTTTCGAAGTTAAGCGGTTTTTTTCGAGAGTAGCCGGGTTTTTTCGTAAGGTAGCCGGGTTTTTTCCGAAGTAGGCGGGGTTTTTCGAAGTTAGCGGTTGGTTTCGAAGACTAAGCGGTTTTTTCGAAGTAGCGCGGCTTTTTCGAAGTGAGCGGGTTTTTTTTCGAAAGTAGCGGGTTATTTTTCGGCAAGTAGTCGGAGTTTTTTTCGAAGTAGCGAGTTTTTTTCGAAGTAGCGGGTTTTTTCGAAAGTAGCGGGTTTTTCGAAGTAGCGGGTTTTTTCAAGTAGCGTGGTATTTTTTCGAAATAGCGGGTTTTTTTTCGGAAAATAGCGGTTTTTTCGAAATAGCGGTTTTATGGGTTTTCGGGAAATAGCGGGTTTTTTTTCGAAATAGCGGGTTTTTTCGAAATACGGGTTTTTAATTTCGAAAATAGTTTCTTTCGAAATAGCGGGTTTTTTTCGAAATAGCGGGTTTTTTCCGAAATAGGCGGGTTTTGTTTTTTCGAAAGGAGCGGGTTTTTCGCGAAATTAGCGGGTTTTTTTTCGAAATAGCGGGTTTTTTTCCGAAATAGCGGGTTGGTTTTTCAAAAATAGCGGTTTTTTTCAAAATAGCGGTTTTTTTGTCAAAAATAGCGGGTTTTTTTCCAAAAATAGCGCGGTTTTTTCAAAAAATAGCGGGTTTTCTTCGAAAAATAGCGGGTTTTTTTTCAAAAAATAGCGGTTTTTTTCAAAAATAGCGGGGTTTTTTTCAAAAATAGCGGGTTTTGTTCAATAATAGCGCGTTTTTTTTTTTCAAAATAGCGGGTTTTTTCTAAAAAATAAGCGGTGTTTTTTCAAAAAATAGCGGGTTTTTTTCAAAAATAGCGGGTTTGTTTCCAAAAATAGCTGGGTTTTTCAAGAATAAGCGGGTTTTTCAAATAGCGGGTTTGTTCAAAATAGCGGGTTTTTTCAAAAATAGCGGGTTTTTTCAAAAATAGCGGTTTTTTTTTTTTTCAAGAAATAGCGGGTTTTTCTTTTTGATATAAAATAGCGGTTTTTTTCAAAAAATAGCGGGTTTTTTCACATCGGTTTTTTTTTCAAAAATAGCGGTTTTTTTTCAAAAATAGCGCGGTTTTTTTTTTCAGATAAATAGCGGGTTTTTTTTTTTTTCAAAAATAGCGGGGTTTTTTTTTTCAAAAATAAGCGGGTTTTTTCAAGAATAGCGCGTGGGTGGAAATAAGGCGGTTCTACAGCGTGTATGGAGTTCATCTCGGATTTAGAGGTTGTTGGAATTGTCGGGAATCCGCCGCAGGCCGTTGAATCTCTTTGTGCTCGCAGTGAGCGTTTCGACTGCGCTTCAACCCGCCGTATCCCTCCTACATCGCAGCCTGAGGCTGCTCCGCGCAGCCACCGAGGGCGCAAACCGCGGCCGCGCTTTGACGCCAGGGCCAGGAACGACGGCCAACGCTCGTCTTCGCGCCGCCCTGCCTTGCCCCCCCCCCGTGCG